GTATTTAGTGTTATGTCATACACTCCATTTAATATCTGCAATTAAAAGGTTAAAAGCATTCGTCGCTCATATCAGAGTCTCTATCAGCGAAAACTTCTACCAAAACTTCCTCAGCTGTCATTCGACGTGTGCTGGCCGCCATGTTGGATTTGGCAAGGATTTGCCGCGAAAATAAACAAAGCCTTCTGGGTGTTATGTTGTGCCACAGTGCAAAATTCTGTGGTCAGCGGATTCTCAAATTGTTCCCAGGTCCTTTGAAACAACCACGGATAAAAACCTTGAACGACCGAGAAAAGAAACAAAATGCTTGTCAGAGGACGTATATATACGTCCTCGGTATCTGAGGGTCCTATTTTAGGACGTATATATACGTCCTTGGCATTCAAAGGGTTAAGGAACTCACACGACGGAAATTTTGCAGCTATTTTGAAACTGCACACGTCATTTTATTGAGCACGGCCGTTCGTACATAAAGATTTTGTTCATGTTTACGCAATAGGAATTAGTTAGGACTGGCGCGCGTGCTATGTTATAAACTACATAGACTCAGGAAAACTTATATTTGAGCATCATCAAGCCTTGCAAATGTACACGCACGATTAAGGAAAATTTAGATTTGGGCATCATTAAGCTATTTAATTTAAACGCAGATTTCTTTCTCGTTTAAAATGATGCCGAAAAGGAACACGACGTCTCAGCCACAGTAATTTAGTAGAACATGTTTATACTATGCACTCTTATCATTTGACCTGATAGGTGTTTACAGTTCTAATAGATTTTTAAAATTATAGCTCTCTGACTATAATTTCAACAGCTTTATCAGTGATATGTTCAGTAATATCACATGCACACATCCTTATGCCTTGTCAGGAGGAATTTCATATCATGGATGGTCAGAAGGCAGGGTGGTTGCAGAAGTCACAAAAGGATATCAGATGCCAAAGCCTGATCATGTTGATAAAGAACTGTGAGTTCTACCTCTCTGATGCGATATCGACGTGTTCCAATTACTATAGCCTAAAATTCAACACATCAAAATTAACGATCTTCTTGTAGACTTCTTTGCAATGAAATAATGAAACAATGAGTATAAAAGCTGTTTTATTTTAAAAGTGTGAACTAAGAGCATAAGGTATTCAGCTGTGATAATGCATGTCTACCTTCTTCGACGAGATCAGAGCGAATGAAATGGTGCAGATATGTGCGATGACCCAAAACGAACCTAAACCATCATTTTCGTTGAAAGGGTTCCTGTAGAATAAACTTCTTGTAATTCTTTGCATAGTCCAAGAAACATAGTTGAGAATTGACCATGATTGTTTAATTTCAGGCACGATATGACGAAACGGTGCTGGAATCTTAACCCTGACTTCCGTCCTCGATTTGAAAACCTGCGACAAAGAATGGACAAATTCCTTCGTGAAGAGGTTTGTTGAATTGAAACCTTGCTAAAAAATTTTGTGAATTTTGAAGCCTCTAAGATTTTTCGGTACTTTGACACCATTTAGTTTCGGGAGCAATCCTTGATGTGATTGGTTTATTTTGTTCCCCTACCCGCGGTAAGCAGCTCAACAAAGACCATTTAGACCCCTGGACCGGGTTGTTCAAAGGTGGGTTAAGGTAACCCAGGGTTAGTGTAAAATTTAATTTTAGATCTGAAAGCTTTAAAAGAAAATTTAGTTTAATTCCACTTGTCTACAATTTGATGATTGAATACTCTGAAAAGTATCGGAAATTTTTTCCCAAAACGGCTCTTGAACAGAGAAATATAGAAACCTGGATTAAAATTTAACCCTGGGTTAGCGCTAATCGGCCTTCGAACAACTGGAACCTGGTCAGTGGTGCTTTCACGCTCGTTACGCCGTCTACGCGCATTTCACCATTTCCAGTTTATAAATCTCTCTTAGAACCACAGAGATTCTCAGTCTGCCGTGGAAGTAACTGCACTTTTCAGCTTAACTTCATTGTAATATAGTGCTGTGAGGCAAGTGCACAACCCTTATTTCTTGCTTTCCACCCCAGACATATGTGGAACTCCTTAATCTGGGAGCTTATGACAAGAAAAAATACTACAGAGTTGAAGATCTTGGAGATAAAGATCCAGGACCGAGT